AAACCGTCAACCTGGGAGAAGCCAGCCACGCCACTTTCAGGGACAGCCTGGGCCGGTGTCTCCGCCGGTGTCTCCGAGGATGGATTTGCCCATGAGCAAAGTCACCGACGACCTGAATTTTTCCATCCAGGTGCTTTCTGCTGTCTCTGCTACAGGCGCACTTCGCCCTGCCAGGGCCGGTGGGGATTAGGGTCTGATGTCCATGAGACAGAGCTGGTATAAACATGTAACATGACTCAAGGTTTCTTTGGTGTTCTTTCAATCTTCTGGAAATACAGATTTGCAGACATCCCAGTGTCAAAACATTTTGTTTGGAACCGGTGGACTCCCACCGTTCCTTCGCAGCCCGCCGCCAGGAAAGAACACTGAAGAACAAAAAGGCCGACAAGTGAGCAGATTCTTGGCTGCACTCCTTCGAGGAAATTCATCCACATCTCGTTTTGGGAACTACAAAGTGGGGATAGGTCTTCAAGCAATATCAAGATGTACGGCTGGAAAATGTCCTATTTCTACTAGTAATTAGTGAATTCTAGGTAAGTGTTGCACCTTGAAGATTTTGATTTCCATGAATTTTCGATGCTACGGGTACTGGGGGTGGAAACCTCTTGCCGGAGTATTTGGGATTATTTGATCCAGGCTCTTCATCTAGATTTGCTTGTTGCCTCAGCAAGTCACATAGCCGGAATCGTTTGAAACAAATGCGCCGGCAAGAAACCCCAAACAGTGTGGGGGGTAGGAAGGCAATGTACCAAATACAAGCAACAGTAACTATGGAACAGTAACAGATGATAACAAATCAGGTTAGGCATTGTCGCAGCTACAGCAGCAGGACCTTCTGTGTAAATCTATATAGAGGAATAGGATCTTCATAGAAGAACTTCCTATGAGCATCCCAGAAGAACTTTCATACAAGCACCAACGCAGAGGATCTTCAAGATCTTACTGACTTACTGCAAGGACCTCTTGAAGAGGATTTCAACAGGATCTCCACAAGATCTTTTCACAAGGACCCGGACAAGATCATGCAAAGGCCCCGGACAGCATTTCACTAGGATCTCCACAAGATCCGCGCAGAGGAGCAAAATCTTCATGCCAGGACCCGGAAGAAAATCTCACAAGATCGACATGAAAGGACCTGCTGCTGCTGCGGCTGCTGCTGTTGGACACACTGGACACCTAGAGGATTTCATTAGGACCTCTTCAACATCTGCTCACAAGGACCTGTACAAGATCAAGCAAGACAGCATGTCACCAGGATGTCCACAAGGTCTGCCCAGAGGGACCTGTACAAGATCATGCGAGGACTTCTTAGATGATTTCAGCAAGATCTTCAAAAGATCTCCTCACAAGGGCCTGCACAAGGTCATTTAAGGATCTCTTAGAGAGGACTTCACCAGGATCTCCACAAGATCTTCTCGGAAGAGCCTGTGCAAGGTCATGGAAGGACCTCTTATACAGAGAGGACTGCACCAGGATCTCTACAAGAGCTTCTCACAGCGACCTGTACAAGATCATGCAATGTTCCCTTAGAGAGGACTTCACCAGGATGTCACATGGACATGTCACAAGAGCCCCTTTTTGATCTAGAATTCTCAAATAAAATGCCGTAGACCAGATGGATCCCATGACCGTGACCCACAGCCTGTGCGAGCCTGCAGTCGAAATGCACATGGACATGTCACAAGACAGGATTTACAGGGAAAATGCCGGAAAACAAATGGAGCACCTTGATCAAGCACCGGCCTTAACTCCTACCGTAACAACCCCTCAGTGTGGACACATTGTTTGGGAAAAAAATACATGGTACAGCGAATGAAAATCACACCTTCAACCAACAAAATTTGGCGGCCTAACTAGAGTCCAAATCCCTGTGCCCATGAATCAAACCCAACCGTTGGGTCCATAGCGGCCATGCGCTGCCATGCGCCCAGAATGGAGTGTTCAGATGGTCCTGCACAGCACCACCCAGAAGGCTGTCTTCCACACGGCAACTTGGCATCCAAGAATAGTTTGAGGTTAGGGTGAGGATAGAACCTGACATCATCATTGTGGAAAATTGTAGCAAAATATGGATCAAAAAGTTCTTGGCACTAAAACCAGATGGGATGGTTTCAATATGTTTCACTAACATGTCCCAAAAATGTCGAAGGGTCAATTGATGTCAACTAAGCTGCCTCCTAAATCCTCCAAAAACCCTGAGGGCGTGAAAGTTTCGGGTGACTTCAGCAAAGCTATCGATGGCGTCAGCGCCGCTGGGCGGGAGGACCTACACATGTGGCACGAAACTGTTAAATACCACAATTGAAATCTTTCATCTTCTTGCCAAATACTGCAAAAAAATGCTGACCACACTAGTTCTGACAGCGACAACTGTCATTTTTCCAAGTTGTTTGTTTTCCATGTTTTCAAGTTTTTAGGTAGGCATTCAACTAGATCCGAGCTGCGCAGGAAGCACAGGGTCCTGTCACAGGCTCAGATGATGGCTGTGAAGGTGTGGACATTGCACTGTGGCAAAGGTGAGCTCCTTTCCTGGTGAGATGTTTCAAGAGTGTATCATGGCATTTGAAAGCAGAAAACCCACCATGGTCACAAGGAATCTCCGGACTCTGAGGTGTGTGCACGACCCAAGGACATTGCCAACTACACCATCATGGAGCTTAGTCCCTCGATTTTCTTGGGCATTTGATGCCGGTAATTGGATTTAAAAACATGGTAACGGCCCTGATAAGAGGCCGTGCAGTGGTGTAAGATCCACATTCGTAGCATCAGTGTCCAATCTCAATTTCCTCAGGGTTTTTCAACATTTGCATCACATCAATGTGTTTTCAATGAGCTTAAAACCACGTAGCGTTCACCGAAAATACTCACTTTTGAGCGTTTTACCTCAAAAAACTGCATTTTTTAATGACAACTCTTGTTTTCGAAACTTTGCATGACATGAATTCTGATTTTTTTTAAGGCATTCACAGACACAGCTCGATAGTTAACTTTTATACATTCCTGTGTGTATAGATGTGCAAGGGAACCTAGCAGTAGCGTAGCATGACGTATGTGCGGTAGCGCAAGAGAACCTAGCAGTAGCGTAGCATGCAGTGTGTATAGAAGTGCAAGAGAACCTAGCAGTAGCGTAGCATGAAGTGTGTGTGGAAGTGTAAGAGAACCTAGCAGTAGCGTAGCATGACGTATGTGTGGAAGTGCAAGAGAACCTAGCAGTAGCGTAGCATGACGTATGTGTGGAAGTACAAGAGAACCGAGCAGTAGCGTAGCATGACGTATGTGTGGAAGTACAAGAGAACCTAGCAGTAGCGTAGCATGACGTATGTGTGGAAGTACAAGGGAACCGAGCAGTAGCGTACCATGAAGTGTGTATAGAAGTGTAAGAGAAACTTGCAGTAGCGTAGCATGACATATGTGTGGAAGTGCAAGAGAACCTAGCAGTAGCGTAGCATGCAGTGTGTATAGAAGTGCAAGAGAACCTAGCAGTAGCGTAGCATGAAGTGTGTGTGGAAGTGTAAGAGAACCTAGCAGTAGCGTAGCATGACATATGTGTGGAAGTGCAAGAGAACCTAGCAGTAGCGTAGCATGACGTATGTGTGGAAGTACAAGAGAACCGAGCAGTAGCGTAGCATGACGTATGTGTGGAAGTACAAGAGAACCTAGCAGTAGCGTAGCATGACGTATGTGTGGAAGTACAAGAGAACCGAGCAGTAGCGTACCATGAAGTGTGCATAGAAGCGTAAGAGAACCTAGCAGTAGCATAGCATGACGTATGTGTGGAAGCGCAAGAGAACCTAGCAGTAGCGTAGCATGACGTATGTGTGGAAGCGCAAGAGAACCTAGCAGTAGCGTAGCATGACGTATGTGTGGAAGTACAAAAGAACCGAGCAGTAGCGTACCATGAAGTGTGTATAGAATTGCAAGAGAACCTAGCAGTAGCCCTAGCAGTGGCAATGAACGTTAACATCCCCGCCCCACCCACCCCCCCAAACCGATTAACAAACACAATGACCAGAACCACGCAGAAACAGAAAAAATGAAGACAGCACACGGCCCCGTAACAGCGTCGACACCAAAAACATGGGGATAACAGCTGTCAACAATTGGCGTTGGAAGATGTTGGAAGGTTCCCTGCGCTGAATCCTTTGGATCATTTTGGATCCTTTGGCCTGTGAATGAAATCGTTCAATAGACCCCGCGTTCTCTTCCCATGGACCATGGATAAAAATGGCCCCTAATCCCCATCCAGGTTTCCATAACTAGGTTTATTCTCATCATTTTTCCACTGATCCCTTGACGAAGGTGGGTTCAGGAAGAAAGACAACTGGAAATTGGGCCTGAAAATAAGTGAGCCCCAAATCTACTGGTTCATGGTTGATCATCATTTTCCCTTTTCGAAATAGCCATGTGTATACCACATCTTGAGATACACCCAGATGGGAATTTAAGTTTGGGATCCCTCCACACTGGGTGTGATCGACATCCTCGAAGGCACTTCCGTGGAGCGCTTTGCTGTGACGGTGGGATGTGCCGCTGGAGCACTTGGGGATGACCAATGGTGGTTGGGCTTGGGGTTGAGGTGATTTTTGTGCCTCAAGTCTTGAAACGCAGAAAGGCCCAAAGTTTGGGTTCTGGGCGAAGTTGATGACCCCACATTGACATTTTCAGAAGTCTAACAGGTAAATATCCAAAGGTCCAAAGATGTTTTGACAAAACGTCCGGCGAGGATTCGTGGGCGAAGCTGTGGCCAAGGTGTGTGCCAAAGCAGGCCATTGAAACGAGTGAAACGAGTGAAACTGGTTGGTGGTTTGGAACATGAATTTTATTTGTCCATATATTGAATATTATTGAATAATGTCATAATCCCAACTGATTTTCACTCCATCATTTTTCAGAGGGGTAGGTCAACTACCAACCAGTGAAACTACCCCAGGTTTTTCTCACCCAGAAATTTCAAGATTTTCCTACCCCCCTTCAAACTGTAGGACCCATAGTCCCATGCCATGCCAGATGAGCCGTACTCGGTGTCCGGTTGCATCGGTGCCAAGTGCGCTGAGCCTGCTAGCTGGGAGGGCTATGATGTGGAGCAGGCGCAGCTTTCAAAAGTGTGGATGTGATGTGATGAAATTGATGAAATCTATCCGAAAGTCTGATGAATGGTGAGGGCTGTTTTGGGTGTGCCCATAATATGTTTGTTTCATGTGCTGTTGATGTTTGATATTCAGCTTGCGTATTTGATTTTTTCCCCACCTGCCAGGTGAGGGTTGTTAGATTTTATGTCAGTTGCCTCCTCCTCCTCCTCCTTCTCCTCCTCCCTCCTCCTCCTCTGCCTGCGTTCCTCCCTCTACCTCCTCCTCCTCGTCGTCCTCGTCGTCCTCGTCGTCCTTGCTCAACTGCGACCCGCATCCACAGTGTCTCTGCCGGACCTCAACCACGACCATCCACGCCCAGTGTTCCCTGCCGGACCTCAACCACGACCATCCTCGCCCAGTGTTCCCTGCCGGACCTCAACCACGACCATCCACGCCAGTGTTCCCTGCCGGACCTCAACCACGACCATCCCGCCCAGTGTTCCCTGCCGGACCTCAACCACGACCATCCCACGCCCAGTGTTCCCTGCCGGACCTCAACCGCGAGTATCCACGCCAAGTGTTCCCTGCCGGACCTCATGTAGGAAGATATGGGACAAAGAATGTGCAGAAGAAAGTTAGAAAGAATGTCAGAAAGAATGTCAGAAGATATGCCAGAAGATATGCCAGATAGAATGCCAGATAATATGCCAGAAGATATGCCAGATAGATGCCAGATAGAATGCCAGAAGATTTGCCAGATAGAATGCCAGAAAATATGCCAGAAGATAGATAGATATGTCAGAAGATATGCCAGAAGATATGCCAGAAGATATGCCAGAAGATATGTCAGAATATATGCCAGAAGATATGTCCAGAAGATTTGCCAGATAGAATGCCAGAAGAATAGAGATGTCAGAATATATGCCAGAACATATGCCAGAAGATATGCCAGATAGAATGCCAGAAGATATGTCAGATAGAATGCCAGAAGATATGCCAGATAGAATGCCAGAAGATTTGCCAGATAGAATGCCAGAAGATATGCCAGAAGATATGCCAGATCATATGCCAGAAGATATGCCAGATAGAATGCCAAATAGAATGTCAGAAGATATGTCAGATAGAATGCCAGAAGATTTGCCAGTAAGAAAATGTATAAATGTCATGGTGGGGATCACACGAAGTAAAGTAATTCTGCAAAGACTCAAGAATGTTTTAACATGTTTTAACATACATGTATGTAATGTAATGTAATGTAGATGTAAATGTAAATGTAATGTAATGTGATGTGATGTAATTGTGATGTAATTGTGATGTAATTGTAATGTAATGTAATGTAATGTAATGCAACGCAATGTAATGTAATGTAATGTAATGTAATCGTGATGTAATTGTAATGTAATGTAATGTAATTCAATGTAATGTAATGTAATTCAATGTAATGTAATGTAATTGTGATGTAATTGTAATGTAATGTTAATGTTAATGTAATGTAATGTAATTGTGATGTAATTGTAATGTAATGTAATGTAATGTAATGTATGTATATATATATATACATACTGTACTTGTCAAATGGGGTTTGTATCCACCGAAAATCATGTTTGCACTTGATCCTTCCAGCATCCTTTTACCAGCATTGCACCGTCAGGTGAGTGCTGAGATGCTGACGTTCAATGTCGAAGCATCATGCAAAAAGGGTGACTCGGATGCCACAGCGATGCGACGGAAGAATTGGGACGGAGCTAAGATTCCAAGATGATCTAAGATTAAGATATCCAAGATGCATCCAACCTGTGATTAATGAAGTTGGGTTTGAGCTGCCATTGCACCTTCGACTTTGTCAACATGTTTCCTTTGTGAACAGTTTTTATCCACACAGTCACGACTGCAGTCTTTATTTAAGTGTTTATGCATACAATACGGTTTCTTTGAAGATCAAGATGAAAAGTTGGAAAATGATGTCGAATCCTTTAGACTCTCAAGCTACCTATCCGATGTGCAATGGTCTCTGAGTCTCTGAGGTTACTTGGGATCAGCAGTGGTCACGAAGTGTGCCAAAGCTGGTGAAGCCTATGAACTGACTGGTTGCGACTCACTTGCAGAGGTTGAGTTTTCCAATATCAAACCATATCAAACTTTACTACTCTTCATTGTAAATGTTCTGCAGCAATCAGACATTCAGAATTCATGCGATCAGCAGCTGCGCGGTGACTGCCCAGGCAAGCCCATCGTGACAACCACCGTGACTACTACTTCCACGACGACGACGACGTCAACCCAGACTAAGACCACGACGACTACGTTGACCACCACCAGCACCATCACCAGCACAACCACCCAAACAACCACAGAGACATCCACCACCGTCACCAGCACCAGCACTACCACACAGACCTCCACCACTTCCACAACGTCGACCACCACGATTACCAACACCACCACCACCACAACCACCAGCACATCTACATCCACTACCACCACTTCTACTACGACAAAGACATCAACAACCACCACCAGCACCTCGACAACAAGCACATCGACCACGACCAAAACAACCACCACCACAAAGACTACCACCAGCACTACCACTACCAGCACTTCAACTATCACATCCACCACTACCACTACCACCAGCACTGTTGCTTGGTCAAACCTTGTGGAAAATGTGGGCTCAAAAGTACTGTAAGTGTTCAAGTCATTGGAAACCAGTAGTTTGTCATTTATTTAGGGTGGGACCTAGCAGAAACGAAGATCCTAATGACTTTCTGCAGATTGTGGATTGTGTGCCGCCAACGGATGGATTGTTATCAAACATTGCTTGGATGCCATTCTTTCAGGTCGCCTGTTTTTTTAAATCTGAGGTGACCAGCACTACAACCACCTCGACCTCTACATCCACTGTGACCTCTACAACTGTAACCACCACTGAGACCAGTACCACGACCACCAGCACTGAAACCACCACCTCCACCACCACGGTGACATCCACCAGCACCACCACGACCAGCACTTCCACTGTGACCTCCACCACCACCACTTCCACCAGTACCTCAACTACCACAACATCAACATCGACCATCACTGAGACGACCACCACAACGACCAAGACCAGCACCATCACTTCCACAACCACCACATCCACCTCGACTGAGACATCTACTTCTACCACAACCACCAGCACGTCCACCACGACCACATCCACATCCACAAGCACTACAACCACCTCTACCTCCACCACCACTGAGACAACGACGTCAACGTCAACCACCACGACGACAACAAGCACTTCCACCTCAACGACTACCACTACCACCAGCACTTCGACAGAAACAGAGACGAGTACTACCACCAGCACCGTGACGACGACAACGCTGACAGCCACAACTACCAGCACTTCAACCAGCACCACAACAACCACTAAGACAAGCACAACCACCACTACCAGTACGAGCACTTCGACGTCCACTTCAACAACCACTGAGACATCTACAAGCACCAGCACATCTACGTCCACATCGACATCAACTGTGACTGAGACTTCTACCACAACTACCAGCACCAGCACTGAGACTTCCACCACAACCACTTCAACCAGCACAAGCACCACAACAACAGTGACGTCGACAAGCACTTCCACCACTACCACGACCACTGAAACGAGCACCACTACAACCACCACATCAACCTCCACGACCACATTGACATCTACTACAACCACAACTACCAGCACTTCCACCAGCACCACCAGCACTTCCACAAGTACTGTGACGACAACCACTGTTACAACAACCAGCACGACTTCAACCTCCACAACAACCACCACAAGCACTGCCACCAGCACCACAACAACGTCCACCAGCACTACAACGACAACCACAACTACATCAACAAGTACATTCACGACAACCACACTGACCACCACAAGCACAACCACCACGACAACTTCCACTTCTACTGTTACTACAACCACTGTGACTTCCACAAGTACCACCACCACGACCCAGACAACCACCTCAACTACATCCACCTCCACCACTACAACCACTGACACCACCTTTGAGTCAACCACTACCACAACCAGCACCATCACCACGGTGCCAACCACTACCTCAACCACAAGCTCCACCAGCACTTCGACATCTACCACCACGGAAACCACCACGCTGCTGGGTGCAGTTGGCAGTGGGATAGGGGGTGAGGTGTTGCGCATTCCAAGGGGTTGAAAAGCTAGTAACATATGTAAAGTGGGAGAGGAAGGGCCAAAGTCAGTGAAGTAGATACCGGTACCTTTGAGAATTTGAGAATGAACGCATTGATGGTACTAGCACCCAGGTTTTGTGGAGGTGAGATTTGAACCACTTTAAACATGACCATTGGGCAGTCCGGTTGAAGGTTGGCAGTTGTTTGCAATGGAAATTGTTCAAGCCTGCAAGGCTGCAAGACGCAAAATTTGATCCCTCACCATTCTTGAGCTGAGGCATTGTACTCAAACCGGTTGCATCGTTCTGATTGTGAAATGTGTAAGAATGGGTTCTCAAGGCAGAAATGATGTCATTAAGGAGTGCAACATGCCACTTGGTGCACCCTACATCTTGTTGAGACCAGAGACCCAGCCCAGGACAGTGACCACATCTTCCACATCAACCACCTCGACAACCGAAACATCCACCAGCACATCGACCACGACCTCAACTGAGACATCTACCACGGTGACCAGCACCAGTACCAGCACCACCACATCCACCAAGACCACCACCACAACAACCACCAAGACCAGCACTTCAACATCGACTACCACCACCAGCACAACTGCCCAGACGACAACAACTACCAAGACATCTACAACCACCACCAGCACTACCACCCAGACTACAACCACCACCAAGACCTCTACTACAACTACCACCACCAGCACCATCACAACAACCACCACGAAGACATCGACCACAACTACCACCACTAGCACGATTACTACGACTTCGACCAAAACCTCAACCACGACCACCAGTACCAGCACAAGCACTTCCACAACCACTACCAGCACAACAACTCAGACAACCACCACCACTACCAGCACGGTGACAACAACAACGGTCACTGTCACCACCACCACAACGGCGACGACAACCACAGCTCCTTGGCTGAGGCTGAGGCTTCTAGGGTTCCCGAAGATGCCCTTTATGTTTGGGCAATTCCACAGGTGAAACACCAAAGGGTACAATGAACTCGTGTTGATGAATAGGTTCTGGGGAAGCTGGCAGCACCAGAAGAGCAGTCTTATTCAACGCCAAGCAGTTTGGCAGTTTGCTACTTCTATTCAAATGCCAGACAAACTATAATTCAAAGGCGAGCAGAGTCGAAAACCCTGGTTCGATTTTGGGGTAAGTTTTACCTCAATTTCCACCCAAAACAGAGGACAGCCAGGGTTTTCGCACTCAGGTGACTAGTACCAGTACCACCAGCACCAGCACCACCACCACCACTACAAAGGTTAAGACGTGTAGCGCACCATCTGCAGCTTGGCTATAGCTGGGGGTTGGGAACTGGCGGTTTCAAATATGAGGATGGATTGAAACGTGTGACATGCCATATTTTGTGGGCATGAAAATCCATGTTTCCATCATTTACCAGCTGTTTGGGTGCAAACAGAAGACATGTTGGTGATTGTTGGTGGTAAAAGGGAGAACCAACCACAATGGTGTGATGATTGGTGGCTGCTTTCAAATCCTGTTGGACCTTTAATCCCTGATATGGGATGATGCCAGCTTAAATTTCCCAAATATCTGGATATATTTGGCGATTTTAAAAACACCAAGCAACATTGGGGGATATGCTCCCACGAAAGATGGGGTCGAATGAATCAGACATCCAATGGATATGGAGGTTAAATCATGGTATTGGATGGTTTTTTTCTGCGGAGATATCCACGGTTTGCGTCAGTTTGTTGTGTCCCTTTGTATCAATTTCTTGAGTCAGAGGTTTCAAAATCTCCAAGCTCTTACCCGTTGAATTCCCATTGCCATATGATTTTGAGTATTCCATTGTCATACCCATTTATGGGGCATCGGTTTTTGATCTTGCTACAAATGTTTTTTGTGGGTGTACAACCAGTCGAGTGGTGCTAGAAAATCAAAATAATTTGGTTCTGGTGATTGACATGTAATGCCTACCTTGATTGCTCGCCATCGGAAAATCCGAAACGCAAACCCCCTCAGGATACGACCGGATATTCGGTCACCGAGAACGAGTTGACCATCGATGATTTCAGCGTGGACGTCCGCTGCGCCTCTGGCTACAAGGGCAACTTGGCCAAAGTGGTCTCACAAGATGCATTGAAGAACTCAAGGAACACGACAAAATGAAAAATCAAAAAGCTATTGCATGCTTTCTACATGGTCTTTACAAGATGCTTATACATGGTTTGACATGGTTTGACATCATGACCCAAACAGTTTTGGACGGTTGGTGTGTTTGAGCAACGTGTAGAATGAACGTAATGAATTTTAGGGATTTCGGGCTTTCGTAGGTTCACTTATGATTGGAGCATACGCGATCTAAGTCAAGCATGATACGGTAAGAGAAGCACATGCACAAAATGCCACCACTACTAAAGTTACCATCATCACTACCACCATCACTGCCATCATCGCCATCATGCTTGTCATCACCATCGCCAGTGCCACTGTCGTTCTCGTGACATATATGAAATACCTCCGGCTCTCATGTTCCAAGGCAGCCCTACAGCCACTGCCTGCTGGAACGACAAGGTGCTTGCTGTGAAATAAACGATTCACAAACTCGGGGCAAATCTACCTTCTGGTTATTTAACATAGCCATGGAAGCCATGGCCCATTTATAGATGGTTTACCTATTAAAAATGGTGATTTTCCATGGCAAACTGTTAGTCATAACCAAATGGTACTCTTTGTCTTGACTGCCCTTCAAAGCAGTATTGATTTGGACTGCCAGGAGAGCTACTCTCTTTCGGGTGGCTTGGCCTGACAGAATATAGGTCATGAATGGTCGTTGTTATACGCCTATGATTCATATATGATTATTGCATTGGATGGTATACCAGTAGTACCGCACAAGGCGGTGGCGGAAGTTTCAAAAATAGGAAACCTATAGGAGAGGTTGGTTGTTGCGAATCAGGGATGGCAGAGCGAAGCCACTGATGGACCGAAAGGTGCTTGAGGTCTCCTCTCTGTCTCTCTCTTTCTCTGACTATCTACCTACCTACCTATCTATCTATCGATCTATCTATCTATCCATCTATCTATGTATCTATGCATCTATTTATCTATCGATCTATCTCTCTCTCTCTCTCTTCCATCTAATTACCTATCTATCTGTCTGTTTGTCTGTCTGTCTGTCTGTCTATCTCTCTCTCTCTCTCTTTCATCTGTCTAGCTGTCTACCTGTCTATCT